TCCCTTTAACTCCATAAAGGACTGTGAAGTTACCGTTCCTTTCAGTGTACCATAGAGGGTGGAGCAGGAAATCAAGGGACACATACAAAATGTACGACCAACCAGAAAGTCACAACAAGAGAAGCAAAGGTGAGGTGAAGGAGTCGCGGTTGACAGGTGGTGGAAAATTTTCGGGGGTCTGCTGTGGTTTCGTATGCTTGGCAACGCCCGTGGGGGCCAGATGAGCCCTTCTGGGTGTGCGCTGATTCGCCATGTGGCGTGTGTGAGGTTTGGATACAAAGTAAAGGAGTTGGGCGGAAGATGAGCTTGGTCCATGTTCTGTATGCTCCATTATGGTTCACTCGTTTGGAGTTCTCTCTGGTTTATGAAACCACAGACGTGTTCATATCGGATGTGATGCCTTTCGCGGGTAGCCATCGTTCACTTGTTACTCATGCATGTGGAAAACGGCCATGAAGGTGCAAACAGAAGGGCGGATGAGAAGTTCGTACTGGTAATGGCATCGTGGACGCAAAAGACGGGCATTGAATCGAACAACCTGTAAGGGTCGGCTTCTGTATAGTGGAGACTGGTGCTCTCATAATGGTTACTCAGCCTGGATACGAAAAGGGAGAAATATGGTAAAACGGTTCTGTCGGAGCAGGTGTAGTGTCCATTCAGGTGGCATGTTATGTGTGGATACGTATGTGAAGCCATGAAGAGTACGACAAATTAAGACCCTGACTCATGGGCTCATGTCGATCACCAAGAATGGGTGTCTGCCAACATCTTGCGCTGTCCTGCTTTTGAAATTTCAACGGGGAGTGACCGGGTGAAAAATAGCTTTTCCGAAAAAAGGAAGACTAACAGTATTTTGATGTAGAGTTTCATCGAAAGTGTAGGGCAATCAGAGGCTTCAATTTTTCATATTCTGTGATTACTAAATAAGGGTTTTCACGAAGTGAAACTCAGTGGATTCTTGGGTTTTAAACCGCTGCACCCAAGTCGGAGACTTTGATCGTGCTGTCTTTAGTCGCTGGAGGATACAAGACGGGTAAGGAGCTGCAGGCACCCCTTATTTTTCAGGTCCGATAGGACCCAAGGGAGGATGCTCTTAGTTTCTGTGGAACGATCCCCGGCATGAGCCACACAGGAGGCCGCTGATAGCAACTTTGCCGGATCCTGAACAAAATCAGACCTCCAAACCGCTAAATTGGGGAAATCGGCGGGATTTCAGTCTCGAATAATCATGTACGTAATTTATACAAAATTTTGAAGCATATTTAGCCCACAAAAGATTATTAAAACTTCTGAAACCTCCAATCAACGAAGCGCAGTCGTTGTTTATATCCATCAGAACTTAAGATGGTGGCGGTATTTCGCAAGGCGGTAATTAGGCGCGCGCAGTTTTCCGACGTTTCTCCCGCACCTAGTTATCGCGGCAGTGGTTCTGTCGCCCTGCTTCACGTCCTGGTAGGTGGGGCACATTTCATTAATAGATGGCATTTTGTCCAGTTCATGATAGCGCAATTTCTTTCAAAGTAAGCAGACTGGTAGTAGAATTTCGTTGCAGCGCAAATGGCTAAGAGCGAAAATAACACTGCAGAGGCTTCGGGAATTAATTTCTGACTGAGACTATGACAACAGAGTGCCTTTGTTTACTTCTGGCTTTTTCGCAAACTATCATCAACATCCGATATTGCTATTCATGTTGAGATCTTCGACCGTGATTCTACCGTACGTTCCACTAGTGTGTGGAGCAGAAGGCAGTAATCCTGTTGTACATACTTTGGTTCTACCTGGCGAGCCCGTTTTCTGGTGCTACTCCAGCGTATTAGTGCCATTGCTTAGAGGTTTCGAGCCGATCCACTGTTCCAGCGTCCACTCTCTGGGCCCTCACCCCGCAGATACGAGGACCTGTACTTGTGGACTCATTGATCCACTGGATAAGTTGGAGTCAGGCGCTCGATCATGTTAGCTGCGCAAGGGGTTGGGAACGGCCGCTATCAGCTCCGTCCGTTCCGTATAAACAACTAATAGGTAAAAGGCGACTGTCGACTCATAGCACCCGCATGAAATTATCTCCAAAACCTTGCACTAGACAGTCTCGAAACATGCTCCCGGTCATTGTTTATGCCAATTCACGGAAGTGGTCTGTCGAATCCTGGTTCATGACGTTTGGAGGGCTTCCACTGGTACCAACGGGTCGGCCCGTTTGAGTTCACAGCCAAACTGATATTTAAGTCGAAATTCGGAATGCGTTAAGCCAGGCTTTGACAGCTAGGAGTGGGCGTGTGCAGTGACGTCCACAGCATATCCCGCAGAACCAGAACATTCGGACCCTCATCTTTGAGATTATTTCAGGTCGCTTTTCACTGAACGAATTAATGTATTTTGATCTTATCCGTAGAGATCCATTCCCAGTGCATCCAAAAACAGGCCTATAGTTTCGGAGCATTGTGCGTTGAGCAGTTATCTCTCAGCTTTCAACCCTCCAGGCTCAAATGTTTATATGCGAGTTACCAGACGTAGTGTTCAACACTGGGCGTTTCACGTGAACAACCTAATTTTTCACTGGTTTAGTCTCATCTTGCAAGTAGAATATCAACTTCTGTAGGGTTTTCCATCCGCCTCTTCGATTTTATTCAAGTCGGATCAATGGCATCTTGTGACGTATCAACCCCAGGTCGTCGAAATTTCAATGTAGGACCACATCCTTGTTTTTGCTCATCCCTTGGGCTGAAAATTGACTTCACACAACCCCACTTCATACTTAACGTGGCTGACAATTTTACTGTGGTTTCGGCTCCGTCGCCCACGTTGACCGCAATCATGGTTAAAGTCATCATCATTGACAGCAACACCAGATAAAGGCCCTGCTGCTTCACTGCCCCATAACCCTGTCAGTTTATTTGAATAAAGCCTTTCTGGGAAAGAAATTGGGGCCAGCCGGACACAAACATCCTGTAGCATATGGACACCACAAATATCGGTTACCCGCTGTTTCGGCTAACATCTCCACTCATGCACAGCGACGGTCACCGACGAAATTCTGGAAGGCGAATGGCACCCAAACTTCCTTTATTCTCTTCTGTCATGTCAATTTCTGTCCACCTTTAAGTGGACATTATGAAGTAGGTACAGAAAACAGCGCTGGTAATAGTACGAACTTGTTCGCTCTGCTAATTACACAAAGCTACGGGTGCCTGAATAGATGGCTCCGCGAAAAACAATAGTAAGGGACCAAAGCGTACTGCTGCCATAAAAAGTGATACTGTTTAGGATGTTTCTGTGTACAGACAATTTGGTTCTCACTTTGACAAAGTTGGTTCCATCATAGCGGAACATTGGTGAATAACTGGCATACATGGCCCTGGAAACGACATGTGGCGTTTCCCAGTGGGCAGATACTAGTTACTAGGCTTCAGTGGTCTGATTCACTTGGCGCAAGACGTATCCCTTCACAATTCGCCCAGTTTGTTTGTCGGACTTAAACCCAAATTATGATTCCGTGGACAGGGCCTATTAGAACTTGGAACAGGCAAACAATAGACTCATGTCGGCAGGAGACAAAACTGAAGGCTTTTACCTGAAAAGCCCAGATATACACTATAGCGAATCAAGTGACCAATTGATGTATGATGTAAGACATGAGATTGTATAATAATATGTAACAATCTTTCCTCTGGAAAGAACGTGCTTATGGTTCTCTGGTCGGCAAATAGTATTCCCGCGTTTTTTTGCTGTTCCTCTGTCACGGATTAGCCAACTCTTTTCGAGGTACATGTTTTTTATTAGAAGTGAACCGCACCCGCGAATTCTCCTGAATGGGATTTTCGTTTTTTGGAGTTTCAGTTTGAGTGCCTTTAAGTGATGCTAGATGTCGAAATCACGCAGACTCCTGTCCGCTTGGAAGACGTACTTGTGCTTACTCTGTGTTCAATTCCAGTAGCCCGACTCCCCAAGTCAGTGGATCTTTCGAACATGCTGGCGCATTAAACAAGTGATAGTAAACACTGAAGAGTTGACCTACCTGAGAAAGGCTTGCGGTTGCACAGGAAAAGCCGTTTGTAATGTGTAATATTTTTTGTGCGCAGAGTAATGGTCCGAAGTACTCTCTCGGGAATAACCCTTCCCACTGGATAACATCAAGTCAACTCGAGCAGAAACACGGAAACCGCTTTTCAGTGTCGCGCTCAACCGTCCTACATTCTTGTGGCATTGTTGACTGTATCACTTACTGCTTGTGGAGACGCCCCTATCTCGACGAGGACCTTTGAGATCGGTATAAAGGTTGGTAAAGTGATGGGAATGGATAAACGGTGACAAGCGGAGCAGGGGAGAAATAGTAGGTGACGAAGTCAGAAAGTGATCGACAGTTGAACAAGCGACAGAGTGGCGAGGGAGCACCAAATGTCTAATGTACGACACATTGTACACCGTCTGCCAGGACGGGAAGCTAGACACCCGATGGGCTCTATCCAATGAGAATTTAGGACACGCTTGTCTTCCGTGTACTCCGTAGTTCCCGGTAAAAGGAACCATCCTTACTGATCTTTGGGAGGAATGGTGCTGTTGAGGCACCCGTCACTGCTTCCACAAAGGAAAACTCTAGTTCTCATGAGTGTCTCACTAATCGATCAACACATCAGAAAACAACTTGGATGCTGCGCTACCAGACGACAGTTTCCTCAGGACGTCTTCGGTCCCTTAGTATCGGATTTGACGTCGAAGTACTCCTGTTTTTGTTTCAAATAGGGCCGTCGGGCTATTCAACTAGATCCCGGTGCCTTGTCGCGTTGGAGAAGTGGATTCCTTGTAGAGTGTAATTTACTGACTCCTGTTTTCAAATAGGGCCGTCGGGCTATTCAACTAGATCCCGGTGCCTTGTCGCGTTGGAGAAGTGGATTCCTTGTAGAGTGTAATTTACTGATGGAAATTCCTCGCTGAATTCAAACAGGGTACTCAACTCTGTTTCCTCCAAACTTAGTCAACGAACTCGGACTCTATTCAGTACAGCGTTACTTGTATCATTTTTTTATTCAAAGACCCTCTCATTTCGATGGGCAGCAGAAGAGTCTCAGATAAGTAGACTAAGAGGCTGGTTATTGGGTGGTGAGGGGTTCTGGTTGGCCGGCAAACAAGGCTGAGTTTGGCTATCGAGACTGTAGAATGGGATTTGTTTGATGTGCTCGACCGTGAGCCTTGTACTCAAAAGCTCGGCACTGGATGCAGTGGATAAATAAAGGGCTTCGCTCCAGTATCCTGACCGCAGCCCGAGCTGCTTGGCTACGGGCTCGGCTTGTCTATCTCGGGGGCGCAGGAGGTAAGGCTGGACTGTCGTTGGGCTACTGATTTTTTCGCCGTAATGTGTCGCTCCAGCTCTGGGCGGCCGACATTCGGTTTTGAGAACAGACCTCTTCTAACCGGTGCTTCTGGAGAAGGCATCATCTATGTTTTTCTGGAGTAGTTGCTGTTCGGTTTTAAGAAACGCCTCACGGAGAACGCTTTAACCCTTAGGCTACCTCGCAATCTGAACTTTTGCAGTACGAGGGCTTGCTACTTTACCTGGCTTTTCTTCGGTCTTCTGGCGTGATTGGCCCTTGAGGAACATATCTAATGTTCAAGGAGCCCGAGAGATCATTGCACTGCACGAACTTGATGATAATGACTTGGCAATCACGTCACGCTGGTGGTTTGCTGGTTCTGGCAGTCAAAGTGGGAAGCCTGTTCAACTGCCAAAAACAGAATCGAAACACTAGTTGTTAATTTTCTTAACAGAGGAATCTCCGTACATCAGCGATATCAGCACTTTTGTACCACCTCCCAGCATCCAAAAACCGGGTTCCGTGCATAAAATGTTTTGAAGGGGTCTCTTGACCGTCGCAGCAAAGAAAAATAAACAACCACCTGTGCCAAGGAAGACGGCGGAAACCCATTTAGGCTGCACTGGCCGCGAGATGGACAACTGGCGACAAACGTGATTAAACTATCGCTGGACAATGATTTTCTGCAATTAGAGAAAAGAACTAAATACTGACGTGAGACTGGACCTAACCGTGGCGTGAAAATTAGCGCACCTCAGCGGTCCATTGAGCTATACTGGGGGGTGTCCCCGCGACACTCGTAGGGTCTCTCATACCAGGTTGATCAATGGCTAGAGGTCTGATGAACACAGTCTCCTGGTCCTCCAGGTTGGGGGTTGGAACATGTGACGACTTGATCCGTAGAAATGGTAATGGATGTGCATTTCCCCGCCAAACAGCGCTGCCTTGCGGTTAGGCTTTGGAGCCAAAGGCTTTGGTTGAGGACCCCAATCATCCTTCTGTCTAGGTATGGGTGTCCTGATAGTATCCCAGTCCACGTACAACGATGAACTGCACATATACGAATAAACGCATGCCTCATCGGCCGTCGCGTGGTGCCATCAGCCGGGTCGCCTTACTTGCTGCATACAGCACGGCGCGTAAGCAAAAACAGGCTATTGCCGATGCCTCCCTCCTTTTTCCTTCACATACTTTTTCTTCCCCCTTTCCCCACCTCATTAATAGCCCTCATCTTGTAGGCCCAGCACTTTGGACTGATGACTCCATTCGTCGTGCATCGGTTTTGCGTGCAGAATATGCTCGTCCCATGGCACCGACATCGTCAGGTACGTTTAAATCAATCTTCAAGCCTCGACACCCTGTCTACCTGGCCGCATTCAATGTGCGCACTCTTAAGCAACAAGTTGCTCTTGCACTCACACTGGACTCGCCTGGGATTGATGTGTGCTGTGTCTCAGAAACGAGAATTCAAGGTGCAAGCACACCCGCATTGTTCAAAGACGAGGGCCAAGTCCTCAGTCAACGCTTGTCTGATCTGTTTGCTTGAACGTGGGTAGAGTCGGTGATAGTACCCATTTAAAAGAGGGCTCCTAATGAGTGTGGTAACCACAGAGGGATCAGCTTGACCCCGGTCGTAACGAGACTATTGGCGTCAATTTTGCTACATCGCCTTACGGTGGTTCGTGAGACACTGAATTGAGAGCAGCTGGCGGGATTTCGTCACACCGTCGGGCGCTAGAACAACGCCATACGTATAAGCGACCCACAACTGTGGTATTCCCGGATTTCCAAGGCGCATTGGACTCAGTTGATCGGTCTGTTTTTCTTGACACGCTTGCCCACCAAGGAATGCCCCGGAAGTTTGTAAACATGATACGTTCCTTGTATTCTCAGACTTCCGACCGTGAGTGTACGGAGAGCTCTTCAAAAGCTCCCGTACACAAAGTGGTGTCCGTCAGGGATGTCTGTTCTCTCCATTCCTTTTTAACTTTGCGATAGGTGAAATCATGAGACGAACTCTGGAAGGTCTCCAAAACCCCTGTGTTCAAATAGCCTTTGACGAAAACCTTGTTGATCTGGAGTACGCAGACGACATTGTTCTCATCTTCGAAGAGGAGGAGAAGCTGCAAGTGTTTTTGAATGAACTGACCAAAGTCATCCCGTCCTTTGGTATACACTGCATCCACGAAGTATAAGGTCAAGTTCGTGGACGTGCAGTCACTGAACGCGCCACTTGAAATCCACGGAGAGGTACTGGAGGTTGTATTAGTTTTGATTGTAGTGTGACAGATGAGGTGAATGCACGAATCTGCAAGGCTCGGGTCGCGTTTTCTAGTTTGAGACACCTATGACGTCAGGACGGTTTATCCCTGAATCTGAAGGGACGTGTGTATCAAGCTACCGTGCGGGCTGTTTTGTTGTATGGCTATGAGACTTGGCCTGTTCGATCAACGGAACTGACACGTCTTCGCGTGTTCGACAACCGTTGTCTCAGAACCATAGCTCGTGTGGGTTTGTAACGGCGTATCAGTAACGTGACAATTAGAAAGCGCGTTTTCGGTTGTGTAACGGGCACTTCCATTGAAGAATGTGTCCAGCACCAGAAACTGCGTTGCTTGGGACGTGTGTTACCTATGCCGAACCACCGTTTGCCGAAGAGAATGCTGTTTTCCTTGCCCGACTCAGTGGTGGAGGCAGTCAGCTGGCCAACCCTTAACTTGGCGGAACGCTTGGGTGTTGTCGGTGCTGCTCGCCATTCAGGATGGGGATCGCTTGACCCCCGCTGGGTCACGGTTCGTTGGATACACTACAAGATATGGCCGCCAACTGATGTCGATTGCGTTCTTGTTGTCACTTTCTATCCAGGTTGCCTGAGTGGACGTATGGAGGTGTAGGCACCTCGGAATGATTGTGGTAAGCTAGCACCAAATCCCTTCCGCGCACCTTTATTCTTTTCTTTACAATAAGACTTTCAAATAAATTATGGTTGTACGGCAGCAAAGCATCGGTGTTGAACACTGATCTCATGCTGTCGATGATGATGAGGAAAAGTCCTCCAGCTGTAGCACCCTTTCGGTACCTAGCTGCCATGTTACCCGAAGGAAGCACGAGGACTGGGATACTGTCAGGTTGCCCAAACCTAGACAGGAAATCGAGAGGCGGGTCGGGTTCAACTCATGGACCTTCCGGTCAGTGAATTCGCGCCCTAACCATTGAACCATTTCGCCCCCCATCACTTGAGAAATCACATTCATTCCCAGGTATACGCGAAAGGAAATACACGCATGCGCTTTAGTCTTGAAGAATAATGCCATAAAACACGAAGCGTCAGAATAAGTATTGTGGTATGACCGTACGATGTGTTTGGAAATGTAAGCCTCTGGAAATGATTGTGGTAGGTTACCACTAGACCCCCCCCCACATCCACTTTTGTTTCCCCAATAAGGCTTTCAAGTAAATTGTGCCTTAAATAAATATGGCTTCGGAGCATCAGTGTTGAACACTGATTGTCAAGCTAAATGCATATCTGATCGGTGAAGGACACTCAGAAGCAGTGGAGAGTCGGGTTTTGTTGACAAATAGGGTAGTAGCTGTTCGATAGTTCAGCCTAAGTGTACACAGAAGCAGACTGAAGTTAGTTTAGCGTAACCCATGTCTTTGTAACTGACCCTCAACCATTGGCTTGCAACATAGTTGCTCCTCATTCGCGCAGACCGAAGTAAGTTTTCATTGCTGTTTTTGAGTTTCTTTGCCTATGAATTGCCATGTCTTAGTAGTGAACCTATTGCCCGTTTATTTATGGATTTTATTCCGTCTTACTTTTCACCCTGACAGCCAATATTAATTAAAATCGATTGTACTTAGCCTTAGTATCGCGAAAAGCAAACGTGTTCACTTCGTCGCTATTTTATCCCAGTCTGTCAGTCATCTGTCGGGGAAGGATTAAAGTCGATGTTGACTCAGGTAGTAGTGTTCACTGAGTATGCGTCGTTCGGCAGCGGAGCAAGGGAATGCAGTCTAGAGCTTTGGCAAAACCGACGTACAAGGACGTAAGTCGTTATATTGATTAGTCATAAAATTTGGTTCCAAAAGAACGTCACCTTTCGCCAAATTTAAAGGGGCCAGGAGATGACTTGCTAGATCACTGCCTAGAAGGGAGGTTCCCTCTAAAAAACCGTAGTCAGTAACAGGTTTCCGTATTGGGCATTGCTTGTTTGGCGATTTCCCATAAACTCATACCCACTCCCATACTCATACCAGTACACTCGACCTTGTCTCACTATCTGACCTTCCTGGAAGGGTCTCGTCAAAATGACCTGTCGTCCAACAAAAATTTGTAGAATCCGGGTTTTTCGAATGATTCCCATCGTCATCCTCACCATAGAACATAAGCGGTTTACCGTAGCACTTGACGACCACAAGAATGCGAGAGATGACTCAAGTGGTGAGGGCACGAATTTGCTGACCATAAAGTCCGTGGTTCAAACCCGACCTCTGTCTCTCGGCTTCCCCTGTCTAGGATTGGGCAACCTGGCAGTATTCCATCCCTCGTGCTCCCTTCGGGTGGCATGGCAGCTAGGCACTGGAAGGGTGTTACAGCTGAACGGTTTATGCGCCTGTGAGCATATCCATGACTGTTGTCCTGTGTTCAACCGTAATGCTTTTTAATCTGACAATTACCCACACGTCGTTACTCCGTTTGAGTCAATTTTGTTGTAGGCGACAAACATGTCAAAGACCCGTAAGTTCTCCGTAACTGATTTGGAGCCATGCTATCTTGTGCGTTACTAATACTGTCAACGATTTCGTGTCTTAATTCTTGGCTTGCAAAACTGGCACTAATGGACTCAGTATCGAAATACTTCGTATCTAGGGTCTTTCCGTTTCAATGATGGTTTCGCTATCACATACTTTTAGAAGTTCACCCAGGTCCAATTTGATTGGCGTTTTTTTTATAGAGCTTTGGGTGTTTTTAAAGCAAACAGGTATAAGTTCAAAAAATTTGGTTAGAATCTCCGAGAATCTGGCCACAATCTGTTCCGCCCACATCGGTGTTCATTGGGCCCAGATAACTGTCTGGGCAATACGAAGCAAACTGACAGCCATCCTTAGGGGCTTTCTCTGATGTTTTTGTGCAGTAGGTATGGGCCTTCAATTACCACCCACTCCCTTTTACAGTCTAGAATCAACATGACTATTCAACGTCAGCACATAACTGACGACGAGTTCGTGATCTACTGCCGACCACGCAGGAGCAAAATATTCCCGTTTCATTTATGTGGTTTTACCTGTCAAGGCTGATGTCACCCGGGTGGGAGGGTTGAGTGTACCATCATTCATTCTTTAGGGTTACTGTTCGTTTGCTAGGCGAATAAAAGGAACCCACCAAAGCCCTGCTTTGTGAACTTTGCCAACTGGAGTCCTGCTTTGTGTGTCATCATTACAAAATATCTGCCAATCGCATCTATCTTCCCCTATGATTTCACGATGTGGTTTGCCCAAAAGTGCTGTTTTCCATACTCAGTTCGGAGTGGCGCAAGCAGAAAAGGTGGCCTACCTTTGACCTGGTGGAGGAATATGGGAACGACTAGTAAAAGTTGGGGTGCGCTCGTTTTCCTGAATGGGGTCCGTGTGGTGTCCTTGTGAATGGTTGCAGGCGCTGCAAGATGTAGCTGCTAATCTATGCCAGTGACGTTCTTGTCAGTTTCTATGCAGATCGTCTGAGTGAATGTAACTGTAGATGCATCGGGACGAGTGTGATAAGCTAGCACTAAGTCCTTTCCCCATCCACTTTTACTCCTTTTTTCACAACAAGTAAATTATGGTTATACGGTAGTGAAGCATCAGTTTTGAGCTATCTCGGTTCGGGCACCTTTGGACTGACTGTTAGTCTAAAAGATCTGTATCGAACGAAATTATGTCGGTGCCAGCTGATCACCATTCCTCGGCGACCTGGTAACATCACTCTCACTGTTCAGTGAGTAACGGGCTGCCACTACTTGTGTGAAATGAAATATGGTTTTTTGTTGGCTTACCATGCATTCCTTCTTGTGGGTGAGTTCTTTACTCAGTTGATCTAACGCTGATGGCTACCACTCGTCACGAATCTTTCCTGTGCGCCGAACGATTTAAAGCATCGTAATCTCCATTTACTCTGACCTTATTTGTATGTTTCGGCAGCAATGGAAATCCAAACAGTTCATCAGAACTTGCACTGGGAGCCCAATTCCATCCCGAATATCAACTACACTTCGGATGAAGACGATTTCGAGAGTGGAAACAGCACCGCAAAATTATACGAACGGTCACGCATCAAAGCGCTTGCTGGTGAGTTTCATTAAGTTTTTCACCGACACTTCCGCTTCTCTTCAGATGAGCGTGAAATTGTTCAGAAGAAGACGTTCACTAAATGGGTCAATTCACATTTGGTAGTTGTATCGTGCAGTATTGAAGACCTGTATTTGGATCTACGTGATGGCAAAATGCTCTTGAAACTACTTGAAATACTTTCGGGGGAGCGCCTTCCACCGCCCACTCGAGGCAAAATGCGCATCCACTGTCTCGAAAACGTGGACAAATCGTTAAACTTCCTATGTGACCAACATGTACATCTGGAAAATGTTGGTGCTCATGATATTGTCGATGGCAGCCCACGACTCACACTTGGCCTTATTTGGACTATCATTTTGCGGTTCCAAATACAGGATATCGTGGTTGAGGAACAGATGACCAGTGAGACTCGTTGTGCGAAGGATGCACTCCTGCTATGGTGTCAGATGAAAACTGCTGGTTACCCGAACGTTAATGTTCGAAACTTCACCACAAGTTGGCGTGATGGTTTGGCATTTAACGCTCTGATTCACAAGCATCGGCCTGACTTGATCAACTATGCGGCTCTTTCTAAAGCAGAACCGATGAAAAACCTCACAAATGCCTTCAGTGTGGCAGAAGAAAGGTTACACCTTACACCTCTGCTGGACCCGTCAGATGTTTGTGTAGAGCAGCCGGATGAGAAGTCCATTATTACTTACGTTGTCACATATTACCACTACTTCAACAAAATGAAGGCGGATACCGTACACTCGAAACGGATCGGCAAAATTGTGAATCAAGCCATAGAAACAGAGGACATGATCAATCAATATGAGCAACTCACGTCTGACCTTCTTGAGTGGATTGAAAAAACCATCGAATTGCTGAACAATCGTACATTTTCCAACTCTCTTTCTGGAGTCCAACATCAACTAGCTGGATTTAATACTTACCGCACAGCTGACAAACCTCCAAAGTTTGAAGAGAAGGGTGGTCTGGAGGTCCTCCTCTTCACGATACGTAGTCGTATGCGCTCGAATAACCAAGCCATTTATAATCCCCCTGAGGGAAAGCTTATTTCTGATATCAATCGTGCCTGGGAAGAACTGGAAAGGGCAGAACATGCCCGTGAACTTGCCTTGCGCGATGAGCTAATTCGACAAGAGAAGTTGGAGCAACTTGCTTCCCGCTTCGATCGCAAAGCTGGTTTGAGGGAAGCTTGGTTAACTGACAATCAGCGTCTAGTTGCTCAGGACAACTTTGGACAAGATCTTGCAGCAGTAGAGGCTGCCACAAAGAAGCACGAGGCTATCGAAACCGACATTTACGCTTACCAAGAGCGTGTTAACGCCATGGTGAATGTGGCCGAGGAACTTGAGCGAGAGAACTATCATGACCTTGAACGGGTCCAACTCCGACGCGATAACGTCCTTGCATTATGGGGAAATCTAATTAGCTCTCTGACACTTCGTCGCCATCGCTTGGACCTGAGCCTTCAGCTACAACATGTCTTCCAAGAAATGAGCTACTTGATGGATTGGATTGAAGAAATAAAGGGTCGATTGCGCTCTACTGATTATGGGAAACATCTAATGGGTGTTGAAGATCTTATTCAAAAGCACGCATTGATTGAAGCCGATATACGAGTGTTGGGTGGTCGTATGGAGCAAGTGCTTCAGCAGGCGGATCCTTTCATAACTTGCGCTTTCCCACAGGAAGTTGGCTCATACAGGCCAATTGAACCAGATGTTGTACAAGAGCGAGGCCGTGAACTGCGCGCTGCTTATGAAGAGCTTCATGACTTGAAAGACGCCCGTCTGCAAGGCTTGCAGGATTCAAAGAAAATGTGGCAGTTCTTCTGGGACATGGAGGATGAGAAAGAATGGATAAAGGAAAAAAGTCAGCTTATGTCCAGTCCAGATTTGGGACATGACCTCAGTTCCGTCGGCCGCCTTTTACGTAAGCATAAGGCGATAGAAGAGGACTCCACGGTTCACCTTGGAGTCTTACAAAACGCCCTGAAGAATGGTGATAAGTTAATCGAAGAAGGTAATTTAGGCAAGGAGCAGATTGAGCAGCATATGCGTGAAATGAAGCAGCTTTGGGATCAGTTAGTCGATCAGACAGCAGATCGTAAGCAGCGTTTGATGGAGTCACAAGAATTCTTCCAGCTATTAGCCGATTGTGATGATGCTGATGTGTGGTTGGCTGAGCAACAGCGGACCGTCAGTAATGAGGATGTTGGTTTGAAACTAGCGACCACTGAAAGTCTACTTAAGAACAACCAAGAAATAATGGACAATCTGAACGAGTACCAGAAGACGATTGACCAACTTCATCAGCAGGCAGCCACTGTGTCTGATTACCCAGATTGTGATGCGGCAACCATTGGTAGTCGTCTTGATGCTGTTGACAGACATTACGCTGATGTCGTCGGATTATGCAAGCTGCGACAGCAGCGTTTGCTTGATGCGCTAGCCATGTACAAGCTTTTTGACGTATCTGACACTGTGCGTACGTGGATTACGGAGAAAGAAAGACTGCTAACAACTTTAGTCCCCAGCGATGAATTGGAACTTGAAGTTATCCGGCATCGTTTTGAATGCTTTGAAAGGGAGTTGACTGCGAACGCCGAGAAGGTTGAGTCCGTGAACAAATTGTCAGAAGGCATGCTTGTTACTGATCACCCAGATGGTTCGAAAATACTCGCACAACAAGACACATTGAATGCATCCTGGAACCAGTTGGCGGATCTGGTAGACAACCGAAAACGGCAACTTGATTTGGCCTATCAGTATAATCAATTCTTGATAGAAAGTGCGGAGACAGCTAATTGGATCAAGGAGAAAGCCAAATTAGTGGAGTCTACCGACGAACTGGGTAATGATCTCAGCGGTATTATGCAGCTACAGCGCCGCCTTGGAGGTCTTCAGCGTGACCTGAAAGCAATCGAAGCAAAAGTTGAGCATTTGGATAAGCAGGCTGAAGAATTGTGCCAAGCCAAGCCAGAACAAGCCAACGTAAGTGTCTTCTGTGTTTGTACTACTTGGTCCTAGGTTGTTTCAGCTGAACGAGCAAAAATACATGAATTATGGGACGAGTTGAAAGAAATGCTAAAAGACAGGGATGACAGACTGAATTATTCCAGTGAGCTCCAGCGATTCTTACAGGATCTGGATCATTTCCAAATGTGGTTACGCCGAACTCAAACCGACGTGGCGTCAGAAGACATACCAAACAATCTTCAGGTTGGTGTTATCCGCTTGTTTCCTTACATGACTCGTGTTTTTAGGAGGCAGAAGCATTGGTTGATAACCACAAACAGCTGGGTGCCGAAATCGATGGATACGAAGCTGACTTCCACCGCCTAATGGACTTTGGTCGACGGGAAACTGAGGGAAAGACGGATGCCCAATATGAGTACCTTGCCAAGCGACTTGACCTTATTGAAGAGGACTGGGACGCGCTGCATAATATGTATGCCAAACGTGGTGAAATACTGAGTCAGAATGTTGAGGCCCATGTAAGCTTCTTCCCAATTGTGATATTGCCGTTAATCTCCTTTTAGACCTTCTTCCGAGATGCTTTACAGGCAGATATTGTTCTTGCTAAACTGGAGCAAGCGGTTGCCAAAGAGGAAACGCCGGTGAGTTGCTCGTTTTTGTGCTATGTTTGTTCATCCCGTGTTACCTCTTTACCACGATAAACAAGAATCTTTGCTTCGGAGATGTTTTAAGGCTCTGGTTTACCCTCGAACTTGGCCGCTTGTTGTATCTAACACCCCCAAGATTGATAGAAAAGCGTGAGCGCTTGGTGAATTTGTTTTAAGTAACCTCACATCCTAATTCTTAACTGTTTACTGAATAAAATATAAGCTATACATCGATCCTTGTACACATATCCTAGAACTACCATTCACTTTCAGGAATGTTTGGTTATTCTTCCAGGCACTCCTCTCTGACGCTTACAAAATCCCACTTTTTGTCAGCTTTTCTTTAACGATACTGACCGACTGGGTCGGTCGGTTGCTTGGTGTTCCACTGAGTAGCTCACGGCAGGTTTTAGTTGCGTCGGATTGATTCAACGCCACAGGCAGTCAACTATATTCACTCAACAGTACTGCTTTTGTCAAGCGTGAGGTATCCAATTCTAGGTAGTGGGTGGTTTACGTTCGACGTTTTTCGGACTCTCAAGAAGCCACAACACCACTGCTCAGCCACGATTTAGTATAAAAATTCCATTTGGATAGGAGGCCGACCTTTTTTAATTATCCTTTTTTCTGGGATGAGGTTACTGGGCCTGTCTGCCACTCCTAGGTATAAACACAGGAATAAAGATTCGCCCAAGGAGGACGTCTGCCTTTCTCCGTGGACATTCCCGGAGTGATTTCCACGTTGCTACACCCGGTATATGCCACAACGGATAAATTTCGCTTGGCAACATTCCTGTGGGCCACCATTAACCTCGCGATCTTTCCATTTCCGTTGTGCTTGCTGTCCGAGAGTTCATTATCTGAACACGTGCATTCATGCTTTTGAATTCCAGTTGTTGCTTTCATCATATGGCTATAGCAGCCTATATCTTTTTTTAAATTCAACACAGACAAAGTTCATTTGCTTTTATCTTTCAACATACGTGTCTGTTATTAATGTCATACTCATTCAACGGCTTCTTTCTAGACCTCTCTGGAGGCAGCAGAGGAGAATTTGAGACAATGGGACGTTCTGGAAGCATCGATTCTCAAAAATGACGAGCGCATTGACCACGTTTTAGCTCAGGGTCAAGATCTAATTGATAGAAAAATATTCCCTGTGGAGAAAATGCAGGCGAAATGTGAGCAGCTCGCCAGTCGGTGAGTGAATCTGGTTCTCCTGTTACACCAACACTTGTATTTCCACACACTATTCAACATTTTACCCACCGTTTTCCGCAACGTCACAGTGGTCACGAAGTATGAAGTAGAACTTCACTTTCATTCTCTAAGTTGGTGGTCATTTAAAGAGGTGATCACCAAACAGCACTGTTGAATCAAATGAGGTTCTGGCACTATCCAGCGACCTACGGTACAGTCGAAAAAATGCGAATTCCCATTGAAAATCCTGTTTTTACGCAGTGAAGCAGTCAGTCCTTATATTGGACATTTTCTCATTTCGCAAAGTCTTATTTGGTTGTATCTGATTCCAAAGGGCGGTGGGTCGCGAAATTGGGCTCCCCTGAAATTTGATATCTCATATTCAGTACGTTCGCCTAAACCGGCCTCGTACACTACTACAAATTTAGCACCTGCAAGTCTACATTGTGTAAACACTATAAACATCCAGTTTGTGGACTTTCATGTCTCATTTCACTGGCTCTCCCTAAATTAACATATTATTGTGGATTGCAACTTCAATGTTGGTCCTTGGCTTGTTGTTCTTCAGGAATTCGAATAGGTAGGTGGCTTGGGCTTATCGACTTGTGATAGAACCAACGGTTGTTGAGACTTAATTGAAGAGATCTTTGAAAAGGGGGGATCATTCGTCAACAACTAAAAACGCAGACTTATGTTTCACTTTTTAGACGGGAGTCCTTGAAAAAGCGTGCTGCTGAACGGAAAGAAGCGTTAGAAGAGCAGTTACACCTCCAACAGTTTTGTCAGGAGGTCGATGATGTAAGTTTCTCACTGTTTTTATAGTCCGGCTAACTTTGTGTATTTAGGTCGAGGAGTGGCTCACAGAGAAAGCAGTTGCGGTCACGGAACAACCAACTCCCCTGGCCAAGAATATTGCCCTGTTGTATGGTCGCTTTAAAGCATTCGAAGGAGAGTTGGACGCCAATAAAGATAAGATCGCCGATGTTATTAAGGTATGCTTTGATTCATCTGTTTCAACACGTCAGCTGCACAGAAGGAATAACCACACTTATTACGAATCGTTACAGGGTCAATTTTCGTTTACTGAACACGTCTGCCCGAAGTGGTCATAGTGATCCCTCTATGATCCTTTGCCCTTTAATATGTGGCATTCCAACGTAACGCCAACAGAAGAATTGAACACTAGCTGTCTCTTGGTTATGGAATCGGGTTTGTTATGTATTGATTACGACTCCCTGTCAAAGTGATAATCGTGGAGATGGATGAGGCTCATTTGGTCATCATTGCTGCTTGTAATTTATACTTAACGAACCTAGTCGTTTCAGTGATTGTTATTTGCGAATGGACACCCGATACGGGATGTGCCAATCGCAAGGTGTCAGGTGGTACATGTGGGCATCGCCCAGTGATGTTTCGCTACCCGATCTATGTATAAATGTCTCCTCACACTAATGACGACAACTAAAATCAGTGTATGGCTTGCACATTGTAGCTGGCTGCATCATGAACTATGCATACCCACCCAACCATCCACCCTGGATTCATTCAACCTTACTTCCATCGTCTATCAAGAAGTGGGACAATGTGGATTCTTTATCCCTACTTAGAGCAGCTGTCCTTTTTATTTCGCTATTTTGCATGTCATGCTTTTTTGTGCTTGCAGATGGCATGCCTCTGGTAGGTTATGCCACTTACCGAATCTAGAAGGTAGGCATCCAATGCATGCTTGGGAAGTGCGTTTTCAACTAACGCATATTTTTACGCTAGCCATGTACAGTACCTTGTGGATACTAGTCTACTACCGTGTGTTACTCTTTCGCACGTGGCAGTATGTTGTAAAGTCGAAATGTTACGGTTTTGACGGCGGTACCTAAGGTTCTAGGAGTAGATCTAATCAGCTCCCATCTTTATCAATATTTTTGTTCCTACCTTTAATTTTATGATGTCGGCGTTTTAACTTAGCAGCAATGGCGAGCATATGTTTGTTCTTAGAATCGGTCAGTTCGTTTAAATATGTTTTCATTTGATAGGAAGGTCAAGTCCTCATGCAGTCTCATCCTATGCTCGAAGCCCAAATTCAACCGCGCATTGAAGCCCTTCAGCGGCAGTGGGTGGAACTTGAAACTACTGCAGCTGACAAGAGTGCCAAGATGGCGGATGCCAACCGGGGTAAGTTCAGGTTGGGCGCATATATATCCTCTTCAAGCTTGGCCACCACTAACTGCAAACCTGGGCGGCCAACACTACCTTGGGTATTCACTTATCAAGCGCCTTTGAACTCCTTTACCTCTATTTCTGTATTATCTTCTTTTGCTATTAAGCACTTCGTTCGTGTGTCGTATTGTGTTTTACTAGTACATCCTCATTTTTCTACTTCAGCAACCCATCTGGCTTGATCTAATAGGAAATCATTATAAAACCGGGATTGCCATTGTCGAGTCATGGGCAATCTCAGAGGTGACGTTAGATTTCTCAGTCATGCCCAGATGATCTTAATGAAGAAATCGCAACAGGTGCATTACCAAACACCAGCGTCTTAGTAATGTCCCATTTGTCAGTGACGTTTTGCATATCGATTTCTATCTCGAGACCTTCGCGACCGCCTTACCCCATGTGCATCCGAGTTGCTCACGTGAGTGTCGTGAAGTAAACTAGAACTTATAGCAAACTGAAAAAATTGTCCCCAGATCGAGCGATTAAACGGTAATGGCTGTAGCGGTTAGGGGAGCAGCACCTCAACATCATGTGGAGTCCCCAAGGTTCTGAAAAATAGCATCGCTAGGGGTGTGCTCTCCGCGAGACTGGATTGTCGTAGAGGATAATAGTAGCTACTGTGTTTCGTCACTTCACGGCGAAGATCCCAAACCGCATCGTGGTTCGGTTCAGATTCTGCGTTTGTTTTGAGCGTCCACCGGCCGCATGCAACTATTCCAGGGAGACCTGTATCTGGAGTCATAGATTGACACAAGCAAGGTTGTCCTATAATCATGTTGTTCGAAGGGGTTTTTGTTTTGCACACCAGTCACGGATGTGATTGCTGGATGTAAAAATGTAAGGTGAACCAATCAGTTCATGCATTAGCGCTTTTCCCTGTAGAGGCACAGTGTTGGAAATTGGTCAATATTTGATCGCTCCGAAGGTTAGGATAGTTTCTATACCATAAATTTGCCATTGCATTTGCGAAGTTCCGCATAAATGATCAATGCAAGAGGAGATTGCCCTAGGAGAGGACACTATCTGTCATTTTAAGTGCTGATAGGCTTAGACGGTTTTTCTCACTCGAAGTTGTTCTATTTCCCTCCAGAAACCCTGTTTGACGAGACGGCCAAATCGATGATGACCTGGATAACGGAAGTCAGAACCCAGATCGTCACTACCACAGAAGACGTGACCGAGGAGATCGGTCTTGTTGAACTAAATGAGCATTTGAAAGACCAGGATCGTAAGGATCAGGAACTCCAGTCTAAGCGACGCATGTTGGAAGATATGGCTGTACGTCAGTTCAGTTTCGTGTCTAAACAGTTTGACTTTTCCTTAAGCTTTCCTTTTTTATTACAAATTGTCGAACGACCGTTGTGCTCGAGCTAGTTTGGGCATTAGCAACCGTAGACACTTCTTACGTCATGTGTGCTATCCTACACTTTCTCATGGTACGTTCATTGTATGTGAGGCGGTTCAATGTGTTTTTAAAGCGCAAATCAGTCACTCGAATTGACAGAGCCTATTGTTGTAGTGGAATTCTAACTTTTAGCTTCATTGTATGTTCTAGACTCATGCTGAGAAACTCAAAGAACAGTATCCTGATCGTCAGGAAGAATTTGAACAAGTCCATCAGGAAGTCCGCATTCGGCTTACGGAATTAGAGGCTCCACTTGCTTCTCGCCGCGAAAAACTGTTAAAACAGAAACGAGTACGTCAATTCTTGCGTGACATCGAAGACGAGAAGGATTGGATAAAGGATAAACTTGCGCTTATCGAGGACTCGAGCAAAATGGGCAACTCACTGTTGGCGGCACAGCAACTTTTGCGTCGTCATCGCATGTTAGCAAACGAGGTAGAAAACCATCGTCCTCGGATAGATTCCGTTTGCCAGGTTAGTTTCCCTTCTAACAGTCGTGGCATGCGGATGTTTCAGGTTAATGGTGGTGCATTCAAAGCTTGCTACTCTACCGCTGTATGTCTTCATAAGGCATAGATTCCGTTTGCCAGGTTAGTTTCCTTTCTAACAGTCGTGGCATGCGGATGCTTCAGGTTAATGGTGGTGCATTCATAGCTCGCTACTCTACCGCTGTATGTCTTCATAAGGAAGTGCTTGTTTGTCAAATAAACTACCTAATATATGACAAATTTGATTAGCATTAGCATCTAGTCGTAATTCATTTGTAGAGGGTCGAATGACAACAGGAAGTGACGTCTAACGAAGATATTATTGTATTAATAGATAGCTTTCTACCTACAGACTACCGATAGTCATATTCGAACGTTTCACCTTCGGATCCAACAGTTCCTCTTCTCAAGATCAGCTTTGCATTTCAGACGTGCTTCGCATTTAAAAGAGTAGCTGCTTGCTTTTACGGCTTCCCGTTCTCGTCAGTTTTGATGGGCTTCAGTTTATGTACTAATGTGCCCGAACGCGGCCGTTGTTTTACCTGTCAACATAATAGCTTTTGGAAGCTAAGGATATCAAGTTATCTTCTGAAGATCGAAATATTTTACCGATGACAAGTAATTCTCAGTTGATCAGGTTGCATTTAAGGCCTTTATTGCCATGTCTTTAATTTCACAGTTAGTACCTGTGACCGGTCACGATCTGAGGAGTCACTACGTTATCCGGGTTACTTCTATTTTTAGGAAGGTGAGCAGATGATTCAAGAAGGCCATCCAAGAAGCGATAGATTCCGCAAGGCGATTGATGAACTGTGGGATCTTTGGGGGCAGTTGGAAGAAGTCGTATCAAGCAGACATCAGAAGCTTCTAGAAAACGAAGTTGCTCAACAATATCTATTCGACGCCAGCGAGGCAGAAGCTTGGATGGGCGAACAAGAGCTCTATCTCATGGGTGAAGAGCGCGCTAAGGTTTGTTTCTATGAATTCCCTCGTAGATTATTTTATTCTTTCTCATCCAAGGGACTAACTTTTCCATCTTTGTTTCCGCTCAATTCTTGTCTAGGATGAGCAAGGAGCTAACAATGCAATGAAGAGGCACGAGCAACTGCAAAAGGTCGTTGAAAACTATTCCGCTGAGATCCGAAACCTGGGTGAACGCAGTCGTGCCATGCTAGAAGCCAATCATCCTGAGGCTGAGGCTGTAGCGATTAAACAGGCTCGTGTGGATAAGATGTACGCCGGCTTACGTGAACTCTGCGTGGAACGTCGGGCCAGGTTGGAGGAAATTCTCAAACTTTACTCGCTGTTGCGAGATATTCTGGACTTGGAGGTGGGCTTAATGGTCATCTGTATGCTCATTCCGACGTATGTGATATGGTATAATTCTCTTCAGCATAGTTCTGTCTGCGCGTTTCTACTGGCTAGATTTTTGGTTTCCCGCTGTTTACTCCCACAGTGTTCGAGTCATGCGCTGTCAAAATTATCAGTTTTCGCACCAGCATGAAACAAACCTAACTTCTTAGTTTTTATAGTGAATTTCTTCTTCTTCAACCTTAAAGATGTAAAGCACTTACACCCTAGGATAACTAACTGATAACTAATCAGTGTTTTTGGACGACCGTTTATTCAAAACGTTAGTGCGAACTCAGTCTTATGCCTTCACTAGCGGGCATTAACATACGTAAGACCTCCACGAACTCTACAGCTGTATTGAACTCTCTACAGGCAGAAGTCCCCCTGGGGGAGATTAGTTTAACTATACATATAGGGGCATTTTAATCTTGTTGACAGTGGCGCATGGGACACACCAGAATTCCTTCTGAACGAGCTGTTCCGTATCCTCAAATGTACCATCATTCAGCTTATGTGCTCATCAACCTGGATACTGGTCCATAATCACCATGGCGACACTACGTGCTACCCATACTAATGACACTTCTTGACTCACTCACCTTTACTTATTTCCCCTATCAGGCTTGGATCGCCGAGCGCATCGCAGTTGCCAGTAGCCATGAACTTGGTGCCGACTACGAACACTGCTGTCTGCTACGAGAACGGTTTGCTGAGTTCGCGCGGGAAACTAGTGAGTTGGGCAGACACCGTATCGGAGCTGCCAATGAGCTTTGTGATGCACTCATCGATCAGGGTCATGGGGAAGCCGCCGAAATCGCTGGATGGAAGGATCGCGTGAATGAAGCATGGGCTGATTTGCTGGAATTAATTGATACACGTATACAGCTTCTCAAGACTGCCTGGGATCTGCACAAATTTCTGTCTGACTGTCAGGTATGTTGTTGCTCGTCTAGAATTGTTGGTTCTTTGCATTCTCTCCTTGTTTCCCTCTCTAACGGGATGTAGAGTAAACTATGGACTTTGAACTACAGAATATGAGCGTTCATTTTGTGGATATGTCTGAACAACATGGTACGTAAACATTGAGTCCACCTGTTTTCGAGGGAAGGAAGGATAAGTAGTAAAAGATTCTACATGTCAAACACATTGTTGTCACAATTTGCTACGTACATATGTTGTATTCACATGATTATCGCTTTGGTCAACTTTTGAGTTATATGTCATTTAATCCATCAACCCTAGAAGCCAGGATCTGTGTCTGACACACTTGCCCTGTAGACCGAACTCCGCGTTCATTCATTTAATAGGTTTGTATCTGTCGTTTATCCCCTCGTACGCATCCAGTATATGCAGCATTGTATTCAACCTTCCTCCTTTAGGATGTTCTGGATCGTATTGCTGAAAAAGCTAGTAGCATTCCGGAAGAAGTGGGACGTGATGCAAAAGCAGTGGCTGCCCTTCAACGCAAACATGCTACTTTTGAATATGATCTTTCTCGTCTGGGGTCCCAGGTGCGTTTCCAATGTGATTCGTATTTTTACTATATTTGACACTTGACATATTTCAATTTGGTAACTTTGTCTTTAATGATTCCCTTAAGAACAAGTTTCCGTAAGGCATCGTGTAATTCCCCGCTAAATTATTTCTACCCACCAGCTACTGAGATTTGGGATAGGATAGATTTGTTGGACTGATCGATCCGCTTTCGCATCGAAACCCATCATGACTTGGGGAGGTAGTATCTGTTGTCATCTCAGATTTATTTTCCTTCTTGATAGGCGATTTCGCGCTGCCCTATTTATCTGCCTTCCCTCTTTGGATATGGCCTCTGATCAGTGTCGCCTATGGAGGGGTGGTAGTGGTGCTGGTGTTTTGGCAAAACACATGGAAATATGTTCTATTTCGTGCGTAGACGTAGCACCGGTATTTTCCGATCACACCTATTAGAATAATATTCCTTTTCCAGGTCGAGGGAATAATAGAGGCTGCCAATGGACTGCTGCCATCGTATGCTGGCGATAAGGAACGGTTGATATGTGATCGCCGGGATGAAGTTATTCATGCATGGCGTCAACTCCAGTGTTCTACAGAACAACGAAAGATTCATCTTCTAGATGCAGCCGACGTCCATCGCTTTTTCGCTATGGTACGCGAGCTTCGCATGTGGATGGAAACCATGCGAACAGAGATGGCGACTAAGGAAAAACCGAGGTGGGTTTCTCCACTGTTTTTGGCTGTACGTATATCAGTCTATGACTATAGAATCTAGTTAGATCAGTAATTATGTGAGTGTTGATTACCGAATGCGCTGTCTGATTTTCCTCTGTGAACAAATCAAGTGTTCCTGTTGTCTTGTACTGGCTCCTTTATGAGAGTTAATTTATATTTTCAGACGTGTACTCTACACTATCATTTCCGGCTACATGAATATAGTTCACTTACGGACGCACCGTCCTTTCCCACTAGAAGCGTGTACACTAACATGCATGACATAAATCTGGTGGTGCCTCCCTGTTCCACGCACTTGCGCAGCGCCAATCACGTGGCAACAGAAACGCCCCTTTATGATAATTCTAAATCGATGGATCATCTAAGGTTCTGTTACTGCGCAACTTTATTACACGATATCATTTTCATGCTCTTTGAATCTGCTTTTCCTTTTATTGACTTGCTAAGATTGCCAACATGTAACCTCTACCGGAGGCTCATGCAGCGATACTATGTACTTTTGTTGTGCCATTGCTGGTCCCTTCAATTTTCCACTCCCCAGATTTGCATAAAACCAGCATGTGGACGCTACGGGGAGTGATATACTGCTAAGGAACTTGGTTGTCCATAACCCTGTCTATATGGTTTATAAGCGAATTATTGTTCGGTAGGGATGACAAGTGCTTACCTCGCGACACGCTTGATGCGAAAGTAAAGGTTGTTACAAGAATCATTATGGGGATTAGGTACCCAGGGAAATTCCTAAGCCCTGGTTGTGAAAAATCCTCTGGCAGTAGCTTAGTCCCCGTACAATATGAAATAGTCGCCGGTTTATTAAGTTCTCTGCAACTTGTTTTGCCGCACGATTGCAATTTCGGCAGCAGCGTTCTCAATTGTAAGTACTTTGATTTCTCACACTCACTAATAGTTCATACAACTCAGTATTTTCACTTTGTTTCGAGTTCTAGTTTTTGATATCTGGCTAAATGCATCCAGAGTCGAAATGTTTATTGCCTGGCACGCGATGTTAACAGTTTGTCACCGTGCATGATAAACAGCCCTTTTTGGAAACATCTGAACAACGGTTAATCCACTCCAACTTACCGATTCCGACAGCATTACCACGACTCAGATTAATTCTATCGATTTTCCCCATTCTTCTTTGCTTTAGAGATGTTTCTGGTATCGATCTGCTGATGAACAATCACCGTAGCCTCAAGGCGGAGATCGATGCTCGAGAAGAAAACTTCAGCATTTGCTTGAGCTTAGGTCGAACGTTGCTAAATCGACGACATCCTCGGGAAGAAGAGGTTCGGGAAAAATGCATACAGGTTAGTAGGACCATTTCCGCACATTCCTCCCGTTCGTTCATTGTTACCATGTCACTTTCAGGCAAGTCTTTAGGTTAATCCGTAGTGCGATTCGAAGGCTTTTGGTTATTCAGTTCAGCATCCGACTCTGTTCCGGACACGTCGGACACTCAGTAAACCAGTCGTAACACAAGATCCAGTCGTTTTAGGTCAAGCTGAAGTAATAAATAATAATAATAATAGTCTTCTGACGAGACTACTAACAGGAGTCTTTTCTTTCAGTTGGTGACTGAACGAATTCAACTGATCGATCAGTGGACTGAGCGTTGGGAAACCCTTCAGCTTCTGCTGGAAGTTTATCAGTTCGCTCGTGATGCTGAGGTTGCTGAAGCCTGGCTGATGGCGCAAGAACCGTACCTTGCCAGTAAAGATCTTGGTGAGACACTGGACGAAACCCTGGCTCTGCTGAAGAAACATTTGGCATTTGAGCGTGCGGCAGCCACTCAGGAAGAGCGCTTTATTGCACTCCAAAAACTAACAACGGTGAGTTCTCACTGGTTTGGCGTCCTCCACCCGTTCGTTTTGACGGTTTCCAAAATTTTCCGACTCTTGCAAGGGGCTACACTGGATCCCTTTGGCGAGAAACATTCACGTGTTTTGCTTCAGCGGTGTTCGTTAGGTGGTGCGCTCATTCCGTGTGCTTTTTTTCCTCCCTTAGTTGGAACTGAAAGCCAGAGAACGTACCCCGGAAACGGAAGCCGCTCGACGTGCCGAGAAGGAGCGGCGAATCGCTGAGGCTATCCGTGAATTCCAGCCGCCACCTACACTTCCCACTGTACCGGTGACGGAAGCCGAACAAGTGACTTTAGATGAAAGGACTCGAGAGATTGTTGGTCAAGTTCCTTCCACTCCTAAGCGCGCACGCGACAGTAAGGACTCTGGTCGTCCTCCCCGTGACTTTGAGGGATTGCTCACCCGCAAACACGAATGGCAAAGCGGGGGTAAAAAGGCACCTTCACGATCGTGGCACGATCTTTATTTCGTGCTGTCTGCCTCCCAAGGAACCTTGTCTGCTTACAAGGAGCAACGGTTAGCAAAAGAGAAACCAGGTGAATTATATCGTCACGAAACCCCCGTGAACCTGGCAGGAGCCTCTGCAGCTCCCGCTTTCAACTATACTAAGCGTCGCTTCGTATTCCGCCTGAAGCTGGCTAACGGTGGTGAAACGCTTTTCCAGGCCCGCTCCGACGAGTCGATGCATGAATGGGTTCAAGCCATCAATGCTGTTGTAGCCAGTCTTCCAGCTGAACAAGTGGAGTCTACTTCCGGTGCTGGTGGTCGAGCTGCCACTCTACCTTCTGGTGCTCAACCGGAGCCTCAGCCTGGCAGCAGTTCTGCGGCCACCGGCAAAAAGAAGTTCCTCACTCTGGGGCGTAAGAAATGAAACAGTTATGTCTGAGGATTCTTATCCTGTTCCCTTTGCAACACGCTGGACTCTTCAACATTGATTTTTGTCCTCATTTCCATTACCCCCGGGTCTTTATCCATCCATGCGTTTGCTTTCTAAAATTGTCTATGTGCTTTTATTCCTGCCCTATTGAACTGAAAGCGAAACAGGGGATGGGTTTCACGTGTTACACTTTCTCTTTCGTCACTGCTGTTCGGCTCCTCAGACTGTTTCGATACTTTTCGCAACTTGGCCGTCCATCTACATCCGGGTGTCAGTACAGCGCACACTCGAGTGGGAGTGACCCTTCTGCCTCCCCTGATTCCCTATTTTTGATTTACATTTGCGTATATTAGCTTCTTGTTCTAACTTAGCTGGTCACTGTCACAACGCGCCTTTCGAAACGCTTCTACGTTTTCAGCATTTTTCTGCCATCACACTTGAAATTAACGTTATTCCTCCAGCTGTCTAGGATGTTACGATTCTTTTTTGTATTTTGTAAAAAGTACTTCGTCGTTTTTGGTTAATTTTTCGTTATTGATGGTTTCGTCGCTTGTTAGGTGAGATGATCAGCGTTTCCTCAACTCATGAGAACAGCTTCTACGCATGTATGCATTTCTGTTCAATATTCTCGGATATGTCTCGTCCCCGCTTATATTAGTTGTGGCTTTCACTGTCCTTCGAATGACCCAGTTCCTGCGTAGTTCCATCCACCACGTCTCGCTTTTTGCCCTTCCGTCGGTTTTTCAGACCCACGTTTTCATCCCTTTGATTCTTAACCATATGCTGTTGAACCCGTTTCTCTCCGGCGTGGTCGTTCTACGCCCCTGCCTTATCATACCTCTGCTTCTTTGATTTTTAGATCTTTGTTACTCACATCATCCATCGGTTTAGTACTTGAATAAAGATCAATACAAGAACCGACGGTATTGCCGTCCATGATTAAAATGGACATGTGATGCTGCTCTCATGGTCTCTGTGAGGTCCCGTTTTCTTTCCGCCAGGCTTCAGCTCTTGAACTAGGTATGTATGGGTGGTACTGCATTGTTCATATTAACTCCTGAGGCTTCTCATGTCAGTTTTTTGCGGTTGACCCATGGAATGTTCGCAGAATTCGACTTGTCGAAACCTCCTGGACTGTGCTAGGTCACAGACTCACCATTGAAATTTGCCCATCCCAGCATGAAGTTTTCGATAGCACCATCCTGTCGGATGACGCTGCATTTACCTGTGGCGATCACTGTTGTCCAGCGGCACATTTGGCTCTGGTTTAGCCTAAAAAACCATTTAAATGATATTCGGTCGGTCAGGTAGAAGGTATATTACGGAAAGTCCGGGTGCTTTTTCTGCTGTTCACCTTCCAGGATTGGACTCCAGTGAGCCTCTCTCTGTGCTTCGCCCGAGAGAGATGCGGCGACTAATCGATATCAATGGCGCATCCATGCTGTCAGCTATATCGGTTATCTAACTAGGTGCTACGGATGTAAGCAACTTCAGTGTTTGTGGTAGGCTAGCTCTAGGGTTCTCCTTTTTCTGTTATAGGGCTTCATCTAAACAGATTGAGGTTGCAGTGAAGCACTAGTGTTCCTCCCTGTTGCTGCTGTCGATAAGGTTGTACTACATTCCGCTCTCAGGTGGACTGAGCTAACACTTCATCTTTCGACATTCTCGGATTGTACATTTTAGGTGATATTTTTTGGCATCCTTTCTTGGAAGAACACTTTTACACCGCTCTGGTAATTTACTGAGGTCACTTCGGTGAGGTAGCACACAGGGTCCACAAATGTTTTTTGGCAGCGTTGTCAGACACCAGTTAACGGAGCACGCAGTATCACCGTACTCCCGTCATGGATGTCCACTATTCGGTCTTTCATTGATGGTTCTTAAATAGTAACATGACCTACGAGTGGCGAAGAATGGCAGTCCTTCACGAGTGTTTCCCCTCCTTAAAATAAGCTAGTTTCTATGTGGTATGTCACTTGTTTCCGTGACTACAGTGGTCCATAACACTGTCGTTATTGGCAGCAGTACTGACTCTTCGCTGCTTCACGTCAATGTCAGTTACAAAAATGCAGAGCGGTAGAGGGGAGGAACTTAAGATTAGAAGATAACTCAATTCTAATGCTCAATCGGACAGCCTGCTAGCATTAATTTCTAAAGCTTCAACTAGTGCAAATTGCTCGCACTTGCCCATAAATGCATGGTCTAACCTGTTAGCACAGTAACACATTCAAATGCTAAGGTGCGCAAACTGATCAACAGCTCGAGATCCTTACCGTGATGTTTCAGCGGATGTTACAACGGACTCGAGCTACCTGAAGTATCGTCTTGCTTATGCGTATGAAGACGGAGTACAATGTCAGGCGTTCTATTCAACGTAACTTGTGAGCATTCGCGTTTCACAAGTAACTAAACTCTATCGTCCAAATGTTTTAATCGTTTGCGTCTTTCATTTTGGTTAGTGGCAAATGGTTTTGTATGGATATTGTTGTCCATTGCTAAAAAGCACCTCTGTACCGCATTAATAAGTTCTAGATACGGAAGCCGTGAAGTTAATAGAGCAAGCTGATTATACTCAGACAGTCGCGGTTGCTGGCCTTTTAAGATGATGTGATTCGGAGGTAATTCTGGGGAGGATTTTCAAGTTCTTATCCCGTTTCCCTGGTAGGCCTGCTATGCTAATCCGATTCCAAGCCTTAGGTGTCGCGTTCTATTACTGTTCCTTACTTTATTTAAATCGTTCGGCGTAGTTTTCTCGTTCACTTTCACGGTTTTCAAAGAGCAATTGTGTTCAACTACTGTGTGATAGCGGTTCCATTAAGCCGGGGAAACTTCCGGTTAAACTAGTCGCACTTGCACACACAATTAACGGAAAATAATCGATTTGCCTGTTGTGTGCCGTACACGTGACAGCCGGCCTTTCTCAGCATATGACACAACAATTCGCAGCTATTGATTTTCCCCAGCATTGTGTGTTCAAAATTGAACCCTACAGGACGTGTTAGTCGTAGGACATACTGATCTAGAAAATGGCCAAAAGGGTGGAAAAGTTTGCCTATCTAGTAAGTAAACACAGTGCCGAGTTGCTGGTACTGATTAGCCTGTTTGTGGCATTTTTTGTGGATAGTCTTTCCCGTCCATTGGATCAATGACACATTGTCGGTGAGCAAACTCCTGAGTTTTCTTCATACGAGCTCATTACTCACGTGAAGGAGTTGAGGGTTTAGCAATCCAAGTAAACTAGCTTGATTGACGGCGGACCCCTTAATTTGGCGCACCCATAGAATCCGGTTCCGTGGGATTCTTTCCAGCAGAACGGCCCCGCAGTCAGTAGTTGATTTCCGGGAAGTGTGGCGGATGTTTGCATTTCAAGGTGTTCTGTAGTAATTCTAACCCTTTGGCGATCTTCTCACACTGACCGCTTTTTTGAAGATGTCTTTAATTGAAACGGATCGGTCTACTACATGTCATTCGCTATCATACCTGAAATGTTCACTAAGTTGGTCTCAGATTTCTTTGTCGCTCAGTGAGCGTCGTAGGTGGTATTATGTCAGGCATAGATTCCTTGATTTACCAAAGTTGTCACTGTTAAGTGTCCAGATGCGCAGTCCTGCTGTAGATCCAAATGAACTCTCCGGTCGGTGTTCGGTAATCGTTTATTACGTTCGGCTTCTTGGTGGTGGTGCCTAACTACAGACTAATTGTTTTATGATTCTTCCACAGCAACATAGGCAATTTCGATGCATTATTTCTCCTAGGTTCACACACCAACCGGTTTGTAATCTAGTTTCACGTACGCCCAACGCTTTTCTTCACTTTCTTGCCACTCTACATTTCCGGATTAACGCTGGTAGGCAAAATCAAAGTCAGGGTAACTATTAAGTCATAATAGCCCCATTTGTTCAGTTTGCATTTGTATATGCTGGAAGCTAAATGTAGTTTCGGGTTTGTTGATGACTGCCACAATTGTTCAATCGATACATACCACCAACTGAAAGGTTGGCTTCGCTCAGTTCTGAGACGACGTGTACGGGTTCGGGACAACATTGTACACGCAGGCACACGCACAACATGCAGTTGGAGAGTGACGACATTTCTCCGTTTGGGCTGCCGTGTGCGCAGCACGGTGAACAGGCCAACCAATGTTTAGGCTGTCAGGTAGACAAGGTGTGTGCCAAATACCGGCATCCGTAGCTAGGACCATGAACTTGATAGATCGAAGCACCGGAATCATTTAGCTTGTTGGACGAGTTTTGGCCCTAAGCTGGCAGGTGCAGTAGACACGGCTGTTTTCTCACGTGACCACAAATAAGCGAAGATACTTGATGAGGGTGCTAGAGCAAACAACTTTTATTCCAGTATCGGGTTTCTAACCAAGCCTTTTCAGGAGGCTGGTTTCTGTCAATCATTCATTTCAAACCCCATAAAGTCACACCATTCAGCTGTGCAGACTATATCTTGTAGAGACAGGCGGACTGGATTGGTCGAGGTTTTGTAGCAAAAGTTATAAAAACACCACCGGTTCTGGGTAATTAGTCAGAAGGAAGAGAGCTAGTCCCTTCTTTCGAATGAGCTGCTAATTTGCATGCTGAACGGGTGTCAGTAGGTTGATATCAAACTTCCCATACTGTGTACAAAACCATGCAACTTTATTTGCTGAGTACGTGATGACGGGGACTTCTGAATCTCACAAGCATAAGTTGACAGAGTTTTTTTCTGTGGTCGCCTCGAATAAGGCTGGTGTGGCAAACTTCACCACTCATAACGGCAAGTGCCTCTGAGCTGTCACCTCACTGGGATACTCGATGGTACCACCTCTCCGCGTCACTCTTCGCTTTCGCTTATTGATTGGGCACCTGTGGAATAGCTCTGCAGTATAGACCTAAAGGAAAAATAGACATCCTTTCAGTGCGTATTACAACTGTGATTTTGGCAGGTTGACGCTAGCGAGTCACATTGTTAGTCTTGTTCAGCAGTAGCCAGGATATTCATACATCCAAAAGCAATGGAGTAAGATTTGAGGGAGGCAAGTGATAGAAAAATTCGAGTCTAGCAATGTATAGCCAGGGTTTTTGGGATCCGATCAAAGCAGTACAACTCGAAGGATCTTGTTGCCGATTGAGTTATCAAATCTTTGTGAAACTATTTTCCAAAGCGGAACAGCTGAACTTTGAAGCCTCGTGCTGAACCTCTTGCTTGAAAAGTTGAACTGTGCTTGAATCGCCTGTCCTCAATCAGTCACTCAAAAGTTTAATGCACGTGATTTAGAACAGAACGTTAAAGTCTAACGTTTTCACTCTAGAAAACATTTCCACGAGGATTTGATTTCTTTATGACTGGGGGCATTCACCTTGCTGTTACTCCGGTCGCAAATGCACAAATGACAAATACCCGAACGGCTGTTTCAAGCTTTATCAAAGTAAGGTAGATTTTCCGCTATATTTTCCTGTGAATGGGATGTCTTGAAGGCGTACCATCCACCATTTACTTCGTTCACTGAAAAATGCAGCATAGCCATTCAGAGATAAACTCAACATTGCCCCTACAAGTAGCTGGATATGAGATCAGCTTAAACACACCTAGTAAAACGGATCTGCGCATTTGTAAATATATCAAGAGGAAAGTATTTTGAAAGGCTCGCGACCAAATGCACTTCAACGCCAGAAAATCATATTGTTACTGACATCCGCTTCATTAAGTCAGGTACTGTCGTTAAGGTGGCTGGACTAAAAGCAGCGAAATGACCGCAAAGACAATGCTTTCCTGTCGATATCAACATTTCATAACACAAAGTCTTTTATCAGCTCTGCAGCTACAAAGATGTTTGCGTTGTTTTTGGAATCCACGATATCAGCAGGACCCAAAAGAGGTGCAAAACGGATACAGTTTGGTGGAGTTGAAGCCTTTCAGACTATCGTAATTGCAGAGCTGTACGTGTTTTCGCGCAGTCCCACGTGTTCAGGGTCACCAATTTATCGATCATTTTCAACTGCCAAGAGGCCAATTCGGTTCACCAATCGATTCGACCAGCTGCATAGAAATTCGGTGACAGGTTTCTGAAAAATAAAGTTTCGCGTATGTCACACAAACACGGTGAGCTAGGATAAGAGAAGCTGCTTTTTGACCTGAATTGTAGGTAGCTTAACAAATGTGTTGCCTTCTCCAAACTCACTGCAATAAAGTATGAAGGAGGAGTTTATACGGGGCTTTAAAACTGTCCACGTGACAGCTGTATAGCGGAGGTAGTCGTCGGTAGCAAGTATGGGGCGAAAAGTGCTTCTCAAAGACCACTTCGCACCTAGTTTGGGCTCACTTTGTTACAATGCAGTCCAAAACTGTTAACTTGGGCTTTGTTACAATGCAGTCCAAAACTGTTAATCACATCGCTTTGCAGCCCAAATATGACCTATGTTACCTTCCTACGCATAATAGTGATGGAGAAATCGCGAACTGCAGCTGAAGCTAACAGGCATGGTCCACAGTACGGCCACCGTGGACAATGTCCAGCTGTTTTCATTCTGTCGTATGTGTACCGATTACAGGAACAAAGCTGAAAGGTAGTAGATGGTGCTCGAACCTAATTCATGTGAACTGAACTGCCAAAACTGTGCTTCCTTTGTGTGTTCTCTTACGTTAGTTAGATCAACACATTTTACACATTCCAAACCTTTCTGTCCACACAACCGACACGTTCGCACACGAACAGCTTTGTTTGGATATCGGTAAACGATTACTTTATGCCTAACTGCGATCTGGTGCCTTTCTCAATCTCTCTCTCGCTCTCTCACCTAAACCTGCTTAGGCTCCTGGATTGTGATTCATTGTGCATAAAACATAAGGACTTCTAAGCTACCTTAACGGCCTGCGGTGCCTTCTAAGTATGAACCACACAGTTCACTGCTGAAGGCTCTGTGCTGCCCAGTGGTCCCTCCTTGGAAAGATTGATTGAAGCGTACGCTGGAAGATAGATTCATGTTTGAGAAACACTGTCGAATGCGAAATCTATGTTTCTTATACCATATTTATCAGACCCATTTCTGACATGAATGGTTACCCAATCAGCTCTTTAAGAATTAGCATACCTCACACTTGTCTCTTTTAATCCAGCAGCAATATCTACTCACTATTATTTTATTTTCTAAAAGCCACAAACTGTCCCTTCGGTTCAGTGCATGAAGGTTTAACCTCGCCAAGGATCCCACCAACTGGGCATTCCTTAGCACACATAAATGACAATAACAGGCAACCTGGTGCAGACGAGATTTGCACAATTCTCTCATTACGTATGCCACAGGGCAGGGCACCTCTATACAAGTGGATAATTTCGATACTTGGTTGTTTTCGTACGCTCAGTTTGTACCAACCTATCTGTATTATAATGACTCTGGTTCAGAAGGATCTCATCGCAAGAGAAAGAGCTTACCTATGAGCCGCCACGATACTACTGATTTTATATATTTTGTCCCAGTAAGCACGAAACCGTGAAAATTTTTCAGGCTTGAATTTACAGCAAACTCCGGGGTCTCAGTTACTGCGAAGCAACTGAATCCCGTACAACGTCCAGAGTGCAGGATGTTAATTTCGCCCATATTTTCACTTAGTTTATGACCATGTTCATGTTTCAGTAATCAAACGGACTACTTAGACCAAGATTCGCTCCTCGAGGTTCATCCTCGCCAGAAAGTCTAAAAGGGGGCAGCCAGGCAAATACAGGTCGGACCCTAGCACAGAAATTTTGCATTAAGCGGTGGACCTAGGGTTAAGGTTGTCTCAGCAACAGGAAGAAGTGTATAAAGTTAGTAGAATGTTTTCTGTGGTGGTTAGATCTTATACTTTCAGAAAACTACTGCTACTTTCCCGCTGAGGGAGAAACAGGTAGAAATAGATTTCATCAAGGGCCGAACCTACCGATTCCCAAAATTCTGCCTCCGACCGTAGTGACTTATCCAATACATTCGAGAAATAGACCATACCAAGTGCTCGATGCATTTTCACACGCATTTGCCATGCGTCGCGACATCAGTAGACAGACACTAGTATACTACCAGTTGTCCCCTTCATC